ACCAATAATATTTATTTTCAATATTTTTTTTTTAACTATTAGATACCCGCGAACATTTAATTTGTCTTTCCCTTTTTGAGACTATATGACCTCACAAGTTTCTTCTAGTTCTTGTATTTTTATTAAAAAAAACAGTATGATAATTATAGAAAGAAGGAATAGTAATCATAAATAATAAAACGAAAGTGGTGTGAGTATTATTGAATACAAAATAAGCAAAGAATTTAAACTAATACTATATTATCATATTTTTTTATATTTTTCTCAATATTAGTTGTAATCTAATATACTCAGACCACTTTAAATATGTAATAATTATTTTATGTTTTATCATAGAAGTCGAGATATTATATGATATTGCAGTGTAGCCACAATGATACATGATATTAAAAGATGTTTAATGATGTCAATGACAAATACATGTAATAACTGATTTATTACACGGATCCTAATGCTCATGACTTTAAACTGTTATTTTCTTAGCAATTATTCTTACACAACAAAATTTAAACTTTTGTATACAAAGAAATATTCTCATAATATTTTTTATAATATAACCCAAACAACAAATTAAAAAAATATATAAAGTCCACTGTGAAAATATCAGTAAAAAAAGTTATAGGTAAACAATTAGGAACTATGTAATAAGTAATAGATATCTCTATGGATGATCATTTTTAATATATTTTAAGTTCAGATAGCTCTGAGTATGAAAATATCAATGAGTAGTATCACAGAGGACTATTAGGAAACATGGAATATATAGAAGTTTATTAAATTAGTGATCCAAATAGATAAAAATTTTCTAATCGACCAACCTTCATAAATAATTAGTATTTAAAGATTAATTGCTAACTTAGCCAACTTCTTGATTACAGTATGCTACTAAAGTAACTCCTACTATTAAGGCGCTATTCAATAAATTGGATAGTTTATTCAATAGTACTCAATGTATTATAGTTAATGGCATTATATAGTATCAATATTATATCATATTAAATAATTTATTTGTTATTAATGTGTTCTAATATATTTCTGATAAACAGGTGTCAATTAATATTGTCAGTGGCGTTGTTATTATTGTAAATTGGGAAAGTGAATAACAGTACATAGTTTAGCTCCAATAGTTAACAAGTAATAGGTAGAAATCATTATATTTATAAGGGATATTAGGAGAGTGACTATGATAATGATTAATTATATCCAGAATAGTTTATAAAGGGATAGGGGTAATATAATCAATGATATAATAAGGGGAGGTCAGGAATAATCTAATTTAAATAATTAGGAGTTAATCTTAAACGTATAATAAACTAATAACTTATAAGTGATCCTAACGTTGATCACTATATCAATAACAAAGCAATGTAATCTAAACTGATTGATCCTATTAACAATCCTATTTCTTATCATATATCGTTATTCGTAATATTTCTATACTTAGCACAAATTATCCAGTATACGGCTCTTAGTTACTCAGGGAAAGGTTTATTCGGTCTTAATACTTACTTCTTTTATATTACATAAGAGACCCAACATATACATTATTTGTTAATCAAAATAATAATAAAAAGAATTATGGTGAGGAATCGATTATATATTTAGTGAATTTCTAGTAATATTTAACTTAGAAAGTTAAATATGTTTAAATACGAAGTTATATGGTTTATTTAATGATATTTTTATTGATATCAATTAATAACTAACGTTTAGGAAAGGCCAAGAAGACCTATATTTATACATTTGGTTTCTATAAGGAATAGTTTCATTATTTTCTCTATTCCTAAACCTTGTAACGTATACGTTCTATTACTGTCATGTATACATTTTACTATTGTCATGTATATATTCTATATAACATTGTATATATATTCCAACTTCCCTCAGCCAATCCATCACATAGCTGTAATATATACGTTATAATTTGCTGAGTAAATCCCTAATCTGTTATTAAGCTACATCTTTCCTTTCTCACAAGCCTTACACACGTATACTTAGATAAAAATAGATATTATATAAAATAAATAGAATAGAAATAATAAATAAATAAATAAAAAAAAGGTAATGAACTGTGGTTCTGGCTCTAGGGGTTCGTTCAGATCCCAACAGCATACTATGCATATATAGTAGTTGATTTATGATATATCGATCTCAATATTAAATAATTTATTCATTATTAACAACAATTTTATTTAATTTTGAGCCAAGCCAACTTTATATTTCTGATTAGAGATTGGAATCATAAAAAATTTGTTAACCATTTATTCATGTAATTATAAATTACACAATTAATCAAATAATATTAATAGTTTAATTGATTAACTATTTAATCACTTACTCAATTAATTCATATTAATATATTATACCCTTTATACCCTAACCATTATATTAGTATAAATCAGAGTCTATGTGTATAAGTGAAAATTTCATTTTTACTTATACTCAGATATCTAGTATATAACCATTATATTGAATTAATATCATATCATGAGAGCTTACTAATTTCCTGATTGATTCTACTAATTATTCACATATTAGAGTATTGTAAAACTGAATATCTTAAAATATAAATAGACCTTAGGAAGTAGTGGATGCTATTTAGGTTCTGATGATATCACTAGTAGTATATGATGTTGCTATACATGGGATCGAAATTAGGGTTAATTTTGACAGACGGCCTGGTGAAATTTTTTGGGTATTTCACTATAGTATTTCAAAACGTTATGTGCTAAAATTTTTTTGATTACCTATATTATTATAGACTGCCTATATTATTATTGCTGCTTATGTTATTATTGGCTGCCAATATTATAGACTGTTGATATTATCTTCTATACTATTAAAAATTTCATTTATCTGTCTGCTTTTGAAATATAATTGGCTAATTTATAGTACTCAATGATCTGGATCATCAGATGATTACTACACTATTGTGTTATTCACTTTTTTGTTAATTTTGGGTGACTAATAATAAAGATTAGTATTCTTAAAAGTGTTCAGTATACATTTACCTTTTCGTATATAGATAATAAAAATCTATATATCATCTTTTCTAAATAGTATTAATATGGTCAATAAGCTGGGACAAACAGCATTGATTTTTGCATCAAAATATGGCAACCTTGATCCTATCAAAGTTAGTAAAAAAATTTTTTTTTTCTTCTAGTTTTCACATGTTTTATAATTGTACTAATTCCAATATGTTCAGCTCTTACTTGAACACGAGGCTGATATTAATCAAACTGATTTTGAAGGCAATACAGCTTTGCATTAGTAAGTATATATCAAATGTATTTAACATATGGGTTGTTGCATAGCAAAACCATGCTTAGAGTATATATATTTTATATGTTCTAAGCATAGTTTTGCTATGCAACAACCTATATGTATAAAAAAATATGTGTATTAAACTTGTATGTATTATTAAATAAATATTTGGAATTGATTTTTATTATTATTATTTTAATACGTAGTACTGCAGCTTAGAAACAATTCAAATTATTATTATTATTTAAAAAAAAATATGTTATATACAGTATATCTTTTTTAACCTTTAGAAATTAACTGTTACTTTTTTTTTATTTAATTTAAAGGTCATTATTTTATTAATTGAAAATAATTTTTACAAAAACACCTATTTTGTTTACATATATAAATGTGATATTTTAAAATTGGTAAATTAACTCTTCTTATAATTAAATGTAGTAAAAAAAAAAAAAGTGTGCAAAACTAATTATTGGTGTATTTTATACAGTATCTTTGATCTGTTCAGTTTATAATAAACTGATTAAAATAGACCACATCTGGGCAACACAAGAAATGAAGAATCACATCTTAAACAGTAATATAGAACAGATGGAGACAATAACAGATAGCGATCATGGATTAGTTTGGATACAGCTAGACGGGTCAGGTATTCTTGAGAAAAACAAGCAACGAAGCAAAAAAAGACAAAAAGAAACAAGAAGATTATATCAATATCACAAAGCAACAGAAGAAAATTGGAATGATTACAGCCAAGAAATAGAAAAAATTTTCAAAAATTCAGAAAAAAGGAAACAAAGAGATAGAAATGCAGAAGAACCAGAGCTCAGAATAGATATCGATGAAGAATGTGAACTAATAGCTAAAGCAATATAAGTAGCAGCAAGCAAGTACATCCCTTCAACCAAAACACAAAATTCTAAAGGCCAAATTAGAAAAGAAGCAACGAAATCGATAATATATAGCAGAGCCAAGGTCTTAGGAAGAATATACAGAAAGAGATCTAAAAATATATAGCAAAGTATTGAGACCTTCAAGAGAGAATTACTAAATGCACGAGTAGAGCACCTTAACATAGAATATAATATCAATATCCTATTTTTATCAGAACATTGAACAAGGAATATTGCAATGAAATCAAAGAATGGTGGAATATTCTGAAAGAAAGAGCATGTAAAGAATTGCAAATAATAAATGAAAAAAAAAATCAAGGAAAGAATAGAAGAAAGATTTGCTCTAATGCCTAGAAGTCAGAAGCAGATGTTAAATAAGCTACTCGAACGCCCTCATAACAAAATTACTGTAGATAGAGTCCTAGTTCAAAGCAAGGATAAGTTTGAGTGTAGGGAACTAATTACAGAAAGCAATAAAGTCAGAAAAGAGGTTGAAAGGTATTTCAAAGACCAATTCTGAAAAAGGAACCACCAATTTGAGCGAATAGATCAAGAATAGGCCAGTATCTATAAAGAGCAAAAAAGAATTAACGAAGACTAGTACGCAGAAGTTATGTGCAAAATAACAGAAGAAGAATAGTTAGAAGTCACAAATTTGTTAAAGGAA